GTTTGAACCTCAAGGTCAGTGGTTCAAGCTCACCAGTCGCTCCTCGGAAACCCTAATGAGGTTCGCTATGAGTCGGAACCAACGCCACGTCACATAACAACAATAACAACAACAATATAAAGAATGTAGTCCTGGTGTGGGATCACAGGATAAGCGCTCGACCTCAAAGTCGGTTTGAACCACAAGGTCGACTGTTCAAACTCAGCAGTTGCTTTTCAGAAACCCTATACAGGGTTGCTGTGATTCAGAATCGACTTGATGACATTTAACAAAAACAATATAAAGAATAAGGACTCCTGGTGATGCTGTGTGTTAGGCATTGAGCTGCGAACTGCAAGGACAGCAGTTCAAACACTCCAGGTGCCCTGTGGGAGAAAGATGAGGCTGTCTGACGTAAAGATTTAGATAGTCTCGTAAGCCCTAAGTAAGGTCACTGTGAGTTGGAATCAACTTTGTGGCAGTAGGTTTGGTTTTAGAATATGAAGAATGATGGACTTAAACATGCCAGTAATGGTAAGATTCACTCCACGTTTCATTCTGTTATATTTAAAGTCTTTACGAGTCAGAGCAGTAACCAACATGGAAAACAACATGAAGAAGAAAACGGGATGCATTGGGTTCATCGTAGAGTTGGTGGCACACATTCAATGCTCCAGAACAGCTAGGTCTCAGAGCTCAGCCCTATGCCAAACAAATTGCTTTCTGACCTTTTACCAGGTGTCAGATTCTCGGCACTGATTATCTGACATGTTTAGTATGGGGTCTTGATTTCTAGGATCAATAGGATTACCGCCACGGAATGTACAATCTATTTAAAAGAGCCAAAAAAAAGAGCAAAAGCTGATTACAACATTTCTCTGCTCCCCTCTGGGGTGAGTCTGGTGGGATAACTGCCTACAGTCAAGGTCAAAACCAGGCCAGCTCTGTTAATTGGCAAGCCAGAGGATGAGTCTAATTAAGAGCAGAGCAGAATTGATTATTTAGTAATGATCACTTGCTTATTTCCAACCTTGAGAAACACATCCCTGACTGTGGGAAGCAATCAATGTCCCCGTACACTTTTCAAAACCCTTTCTATAAATAATGTTTTGATGGGTTATTTACAAAATGATGAGATGGAACGCAGAAGGCTGAGCTTAAATGTGAGTTGCTTGGATTCAACAACCTCACACCTAGGGACAAAGATCCACAACCCTCCAAGTCAAGTATTTCAGGGGGACAGCTAGTTTCCCCATTTATCACACATAGATAACTACACAAAGCCAGGGGGAGACAGCCTTGCATCTGGCATTGTGAGTCTGGCCGAGGTAATGACAACAACAGCAGTTAAAATAATAATAATAATGGTGATGAAGATGGCAAATAGGTTCTGTAGCTAACTAACAGGCTCCACACTGGGGCTACGTGCTACAGATATCATTGCTTTTGATCCTTTCCAAAGCCCCAAGAGGTAGCCCTGTTGTTTTCATTCTACCCATGAGCAAAGGCTCAGCATTGTCACTCTGTTGATGGGAGGCAAAACACTTGTGCAGAACCCTACAATACACGAAACCCACAGCTGCCAGCCAGGTCTATTCCAACTCACAGAACCCAACATGAACAGCTAGAAGTGCCCCAAAGGGCTCCCAAGGCTGTTAATCATGATTAACAAAGACTGCCATATCTTTATCCTATTGAGCAGCTGTGGGTTTGAACCTCTGACCTTCTGGCTAGCAGGCAAGCACTTAACCGCGGTGCCACCAGGATTCCCAGTTAACAATATACCACCCAGCTAGAAAGATAACATTTACAACAGTATCTAAGAAAGAGACAGAAAGTGTATACTACAAATCTTAAAATTTAAAGGAATCTTATTAGGCAAATCTGCTGTATAAGACCTATTTTAAGTGTTTAAGGGCAAAGATGTCAGTTTGAGGACTAAAGTGTGCCTCACCCAAATTATGATATTTTCAATCACCTTGTATGCATGCATGTGACATTAGACATTGAATTAGGAAGACGGAAAAAAAATTGATGCATTTGAGTTATGGTGTTGGCAAAGAAATTTAAAGTACCATGGGCTGGCTCTCTCTCTCTTCCAGTCCCTGGAGCGCCGGGAGCTGCGGGCATTGGTGCAGACATGGCAAAGTCCAAGAACCATACCATGTACAACCAGTCCCGAAAATGGCACAGAAATGGTATCCAGAAACCCCGATCACAATGCTATGAGTCTCTCAAGGGGGTGGACCCCAAGTTTCTAAGAAACATGCGCTTTGCCAAGAAGCACAACAAGAAGGGCCTGAAGCAGTTTGAACCCACAAACCACTCCATGGGAAAAAAAATTTGCTTCCTTAAAGATTGACAGACTTGGAAATCCAATAAATTGGTTCTACTCAGTCCTATAGGGCACTATGAATTGGAAGTGACTCGATGGCAGTGGATTTGGTTTTGTTAAGATAATAATATCAGATTCCTCCTCTCATCTGTTAATGTAGCAACTGTTAATATATTTCTAATGTCAAACCAGTCTTGTATCTGTAAAACAAATTTTTAGCAACCTTGTATAGGGTTTCCGAGGAGCGGCTGGTGAGCTTGAACTGTCGACCTTGCAGTTCCAATCACTCTTGCAGTCCAGCGCCACACCAGGACTTAGGCATGATTTACTGTCTGTTGATAGGATTTTTATTATTGCTATTTTTTAGTTTTTCAATCATGTTTATGGATGCGTTTGATTTGCAACTTTCCTTTTTATATTAGATTTTTAATTAAGATCATAAAATGGGCTGAATTATCTTTCTTCTTTCTAGTCTCTGAAATAATTGTGTCAGGATTGAAATTATTCTGTTTAAATAACCTTTACTGTTATTAACATGTTGTTCGTATGTTCTAAGAGTCCTGGTGTGGCACTGCAGGATAAGCATTGGACCACAAAGTTGGTTTTAACTGCAAGATTGGCAGTTCAAACCCACCAGATGCTCCTCGGACACCCTATACAGGGTCACTATGAGTCAGAACCAACTCAATAGCACTTAACAATATCTACAATAATTAATCAATTATCGAGATAATTGTGATACTCCCCCACCATAGCTGAATTTTTCTCTTAATTGGTGACTTTAGTATGTTATATAGCTATTGTGATAATTAAACATTTAGATTCATTCCTAAAAAAAAAAGAAGGGCCTGAGAAGATGCAGGCCAACAACGCCAAGGCCATGGATGCACGTGCTGAGGCTATCAAGGCTCTCATAAAGCCAATGGAGGTCAAGGCCATGGATGCACGTGCCGAAGCTATCAAGGCCCTTGTAAAGACCATGGGGGTCAAGGCCATGGATGCACGTGCCGAAGCTATCAAGGCCCTCGTAAAGACCATGGGTGTCAAGGCCATGGATGCACGTGCCGAAGCTATCAAGGCTCTTGGAGAGCCCATGGAGGCCAAGGCCACGGATGCACATGCCGAGGCTATCAAGGCCCTTGTAAAGACCATGGGGGTCAAGGCCATGGATGCACGCGCTGAGACTATCAAGGCCCTTGGACAGCCCAAGGAGGCCAAACCTAAGATCCCAAGGATGGTCAACTGCAAGCTCAGTCGACTGGCCTACACTGCCCATCCCAAGCAGGGGAAGCGTGCTCTGGCACACATTGCCAAGGGTCTGAGGTTCTGTTGGCCAAAGTCCAAGGCCAGTGCTCAAACTAAGGCTGAAGCTTCAACCAAGATCTCAACTCCAGCCCCAGCCAAGGCTTCAACTCCAGCCCCAGCCAAGGCCTTGCCTCAGGCTCCCAAAGGTGCCCAGGCCCCCACAAAGATGGAATAGAGTTCTCCGCCTGAGGACAGAGGGACTGCTATGACCATTTGGGCTACTATCTGCATGGAGCTGGTGTCCTCCTGTGCCATTTGTACAAATAAATCTGAGGCAGAAAAAAAAAGTACCATGGACTGCCAGAAGAACACCAACTCTATCTTGAATGAAATACAGCCAGAATGTTCCTTAAAAACTAGGATGGAGTGATTTTGTCTCTTGTTCTTTGGACATGTTGTCAGGAGGGACTGATCCCTGGGGAAAGACAGCATGCTTGTAAAGTGAAGGGTCAGCACAAAAGAGGAAGAACCCAATGAGATGGATGGACACAGTGGCTCTAACAAAGGACTCAAATGTAACAACAGCTGTGAGGATGGCCCACGACCAGGCAGAGTTTCATGCTGTTGTGCATGGCGTTGCTATGAGTGACAGCTGACCTAACCACGGCACCTAGCAACAACCATCTGGGGTAGAATTGATTCTTTCCACAGGTAAGTAGAGTAGCTCTTCCTTCCTTACTTCATCCAATCAAAACCGTAACTTGGCTCTTCCAAAGCAGATGGTGTCAGCCAGTCTGAGCACTTGGGATCATTACTTCTGCTACTGCGTGCTTGTATTTCACTGCAATTTGGAGGCAAACTTGAATAATAATAACAAAAAAAGCACACCTTTTACGTATTCAGGTTTACCATGGCGATATTGCAGCTTTGGTTCCAGACCACCCAGTAAAGTGACTATATAAATAAAGTGAGTAACATTTTTTAGCTTCCTGAGGGAGTCCTGGTGTGGCGCCATACGATGAGCACTCGACCTTAAGGTTGGTTTGAACCACAAGGTCAGCGGTTCAAACCTACCAGCTGCTCCTCGGAAACCCTATACAGGGTCTCTGTGAGTCAGGACTGACTGGATAGCTTTTGTTCCTTAAATGGTTACTTTGCTCCTTGTTAAATGTAAAGGTTAACAGGCATATAAGAGACGTGCTGCAACAGAGGAATGATTTATTCTGGCAAGTTGTTGTTAAGTGCCTGTGAGTCCGTTCCAACTCATAGTGACCCTGTTTCCAAGGAGCGGCTGGTGGGTTTGAAATACCAACCTTAAGATTCAAAATGACCTTGTGATCCAATGCTTATCCTATAGTGCCATAGGAAGAATAAGGTCAAGCATTAAAGAGGGGTTTAGAAAAACTTCTCTTGAACTGGCTATTAAGTTGATACCACTTACTGTGATCTTTTTGTGGTCCGGAAACTCGAGGCCAAAATAGTCCCCTTCCACGAGATTGAGGTGGTTGCAAACTGCATCCAGCAACACTTTTCCTGGGGCTCTTTGCTGTAAACAGAAACAACAGGAAGTTACACCCTCAGAGACCAGCAGCAAGGAAAACAAAGCAGAGATTCCCATAGCCTGGAGGAAGCTTGCAAGTGCTTCACAGTATGCCTTTGACTATCTTCTCATGCCACGTCCCATCACTCACCTCTAGGACACCAGAACATCTGACTACACCTCTGTGCCTTGCTCATGCTGCTCACACCCTTAGAATGCTTATCCCCACCATTTGCTCTCTACTTCCATCTTCACAAACAGAGCTGACTGCTGCTTCTCTAGGTTCCCACAGCATATTGTGCGGAGGCTCAGTTTGGCGATCCCTTCATGGAGGGCAGAGGCCACGTTTTACTCCTATTTGTTTCTACTCTAGCTCGAGACCAATCAGTTTTATTGAAATAAATGCACAGATTAATAAAAGTCACTGATTCTACTGTATTATTGTGAAGTGTCTATGAATCTGCCTCCCAATTAAGTTTTGAGCCATGTTTTTGTTGTTACTGTTAAATGCCATCGAGTTAGTTCTGACCCATAGCGACCCTGTATACGGTTTCCGAGGAGCAGCTGGTGAGCTTGAACTGCTGACCTTATAGTTCAAATGGCTTTGCAGTCCAGTGCATTAACCCACACGCCACACCAGGACTCCTTTGGGTCACGTAGTCATCTTTATTTTCCCCTTGCCTAGAGAAGGGATTGGCACTGACCAATGTCTGCTGAAAGCAATGCTGTATATATGATTTTTTTCTCTTCTGAATCTATAGAGGAGAGTAGCATCTAAAAGAACCCAATTTCTAACCCAAAGAGTTTAGACTCCTGGGCCTTGATTTCTTATTATCCAGTAGATTCCTAATGACCCACAATGAATGGATCAAATTCCAACATATAGATCAAATACGAAAAGAAAAATGTCTCAAAGACATTGCCATGTATAGTGACTGGTTTTATTATTTCAGCTCCCTGCTGATAAGAGCAGAACATTTCCAGGAAGTAGTTAGAACAAACTGACAGGGAAAGTCACAGCCTTGATGTGGCCCGAGGAGCAGTTAGTGTCAAACAGTTAAGCACTGTTTCTTTCCAGAAGCCATGTTTTGGACCCATATTCCCCAGCACTGACAACATACAGAAGGTAAGCACAGGTATCTGAGAGTATGAAATATTCTCCACACGTGATCCCAAACTCATCAAGCTCCAGACTTAGCTTGTTTTCATTTAATAGTCATTTCACTCCTACTGATAGTGGGAGTAGGATACGATCAATGTAACCCCAGTCTTCCTTTTCAAACACAGCCCCTCCACCCCCCCAGCGACATAAGCACGCACTCTCTCTCTTTCACACACACACACACACACACACACACACACACACACACACACACAGAGTTGCACTTTGCCAGTGGAATGTATTTAAGCGATCTATATGGATTACTGGTCATTATGTTGTTGTTTTTTCAAAATTAGGAGGAAGCTCTGATGGTGCTGTGTGTTACGTACTAGGACTGCTAATTACAAGGTCGGCAGTTCAAACCCACCAGCTGCTCCTGGGAGAAAGCTGAGGCTGCCTTGTTCCTGTAAAGGTTTATAGTCTCAGAAACCCTATGCAGGTTCACTATGAGTCAGGACCGAGTCTGTGGCGATGGGTTTCATACAGTAGTCTAACTTAGTTCGGTTGTGCCACCCACACCTAGGATTCACCCAACTGTGCCAATGTAAGGGACAACAACAGCTGGTCCCTATGAGTCCTGGTCCTTCCATTAACCACCAGCCACTCCTTGGAAATCCTATACGGGGTCTCTGTGAGTCAGATCGGACTTGATGGCACTTAACAACAGCCAAACTCCAAGGGCCATGTCTCTGTCTACTGCACAGCTGCTTACTCCAAGCTCTTTTACTCCAGGGCAGTGATGGCTCAGTGGGAGAATGCTCGCCTTCCAGGTGGGAGACCCAGGTTCAATTCCCAGCCAACGTACTTCATGCAGAGCCACATGCTCAGTGAATTCTGCCATGGTGCTGATCAGGTTTCAGTGGCACTCCCTGACTAAGCGAGGTGAGGAAGAAAGGGCTGGCAACTGACTTCTGAAAATCAGCCAATGAATACCCCATATGTTTTGTTCTATTGTGCCTGGGGTTACCATGAGCCAGGGACCAACTCAAAGGCAGCTAACAACAACAATTTTTCACTCCAGTAAAATCAGTCACCATCAGAAACAAAGAAGTAAGGAATATGAAGATGTGGAGGACGCCATATACAATTTTTTTCCCCCAAAGGGAAGATCATATTCTAGTTTCCACAATCCTTCCTTACAATTCTTGACAACATTTTCTATTTGTTACAAAAATGAACCACTAATTATATGACCAGTTGGCAAGCACTCACATTTCCCAAAGAATTGGTGGAATTAAGTGAATTTGATAACCTCATCTAGATTTACAGAGTCCGAGAAAGGAGACTAACAATTTACAGCTTGAAGTCTAAACAAGTGAAAAATCAATACACAATAGGGGTCTTTATGGGCATGGTGTTAACTGAGGCACTCTGTATAATACACAGAAGAGAGGCAGAGTTCACATGTGATCTGGATCCTTTATTGACTTAGCAGAGGTTTTGACGGTCATATTGCTGGTGTGGAACTGCGGGTTAATGCACTGGACTGCAAAGTCGGTTTGAACCCCAAGGTTGGTTCAAGCTCACCAGCAGCTCCTTAAAAACCCTAAACAGGGTCACTGTGGGTTGGAACCGACTCAACAGCAAACAACAGCTAGTATGGGGGAGCCCTGGTGTGGTGCTGTAGGATGATGCACTGGACTGAAAGATCCGTTTGAACCATAAGGTCGGTGATTCAAACTCACTAGCTGCTCCTCAGAAGCCCTCTACAGATAAACTATGTATGAGTCAGAACCGGCTTGACGGCACTCATCATCAACAACAACAGGTAACGATAAGAGGCTGCAAGGAGACCTATGGCCACAGAGGTGTCGCAGCATTGAACCACAGCTGTGGGCTGTGGGTTAATGCACCAGATTGCAAAGCCATTTGAATTTGCAAGGTCAACGGTTCAAGCTCACTAGCCAGGTCGGCAGTTCAAGCTAACCAGCTGCTCCTTGGAAACCCTAAACAGGGTCACTATGGGTCGGAATCGACTCGACGGCACTAAACAACAACAACAACACTTTGCTGGAGACCAGTACAGAAGTTAGAACAACTCCCTTCTTGCAGAAAGACCAGTTGATAAGAACTGCTTGGAAGCTAGTTAGGAAATGACACGCATTTGGTTTCAATTCTTGAAGATGTCCTTAAACTTTATGAGTTTATATAAAGCCTTTACACAAAATAGCTTTCTCTGATAATGAAATTTTATATAAGAAGTCAACTTACAGTTTGAATAATATCTTTACAGCTCCTGAAAATCATCTACAAAGGAGATGCCTATAAAACCTTAGTTCCCCTGTGAATACTGGGTACCTTCAGGGGCTTAAGGGAAACTGCTATGTGGCAACATTAGAAAGCATTTATGCAGGTTTAAATACACCCAAGGCACAACCATTTTACAGGTAAGTGTGTGGCAATGGGTTCCACGGACTGAGCAAAACACGCTAATGTTCACAAAGCCGACACAAATATGTGTATCTGCCCAAAATGTGTGCAGGCATCCTTAGCAGAGAGAGGCTCAGGAAATCTCTTCCCCTTTCTCTCAGGAACTATCAAACCATCTGGCTCCCTCAATGCCCCCAGGCCTAAATTCTGCTTTAAAAGAAGTGTCTCCCAGATGGAAAGCAAGGAAAAAATGGTCACCAGCTCTGTAGCGATGGTATTTTCAGTAACTTCACATGGACAGTGAATTAGGAAGACAGTAGAAGAATTGATGCTTTTGAGTTATGGTGTTGGAGGAGAATATTGAAAAGTACCATGGGCTGTCAAAAGAACCAACAGATCTGTGTTGGAAGAAGTGCAGCCAGAGTGCTCCTTGGAGGCCAGGATGGCCAAACTTCGTCTCTTATACTTGGGACACGTTGTCAGGAGAAGGCTATCATGTTTGGTAAGGTGGAGGGTCAGAGAAAAAGGAGGAAGACCCCCAGCGAGATGGATTGGCAAAGTGGCGGCAGCAATGGGCTGAGGCTTAGCAACGATTGTGAGGTTGGCCCAGGACCAGGCAGTGTTTGGTTCTGTTGTGCACAGGGTCTGTATGAGTTGGTACCGATTCGATTGCACTTAACAACAACAACAACAGCTCTGTAGTGCTGTAGGATCAGCACTGGATTGCTAACTGAAACGTCAGCAGTTCAAACCCACTGACTGCTCTTTGGAAGCCCTATACAAGGTCGCTATGAGTTGGAACCAACTCGATAGCAGTTAACGGCTGTGATTTTTGCTCCTCATTCTGTAAGAAAAATTACCCTTGCCTTTCTTCTACAATAGATTTACTAGAGCCGTGTGCAACATCACTTCTCTGCTTGTCTCCAATGAATTTTTTGAGTTTCACCTTAAAATTAATTCTGTTCAAAATCACTCCAAGAATTTGAGACAACTTGTACTCACCCATATTCTGAAAGGTCTAAGGAATAGGAATTTAGATGCAAAATTAATCTATTGGAAAACTCTTTAGTGCTTCCAACTGTAAGAGAAAGAGGAAAGGATTTTAAGGAAGACACAAAAATCTGCTCACCCAAAATCTGTTGAATGAGGGACCTACAACTGTGGAAGAAACCACTAGGGAGAAATGAATTAAAAGATGATGCTGTCAAAGGCAAAGAATAATTCTTAATAGTTGCAAAAGAGAGGGAGAGAGAAACAGAGTTTCCTTAATTCTTATTTTAATTCTTAATTCTTCATGGGAAATGCACACAAACAGGAATTCTTTAAAAACCAGTTTATGAGAATCATTTGGGAGACTACATACTGACAATAAAGCAGAAAAAGTCTCCATAAGGAATCTAAACCCATTGTTGCTGAGTTGGTTCTAACTTGGGGAGACTCCATGTTGTTTCGGAAGAGACATGTACTCTATAGG